ATGAAAAAAAAAAAAAAGCCAGGCATGGTGGCTCACGGCTGTAATCCCAGCACTTTGGGAGGCCAAGGCAGGTGGATCACAAGGGCAGGAGTTCAAGACCAGCCTGGCCAATTTGCTGAAACCCCGTCTCTACTAAAAGTACATAAAATTAGCCTGGTAATGGTGGTGGACGACTATAATCCCAGGTACTCGGGAGGCTGAGGCAGAGAGTTGCTTGAACCTCGGAGGTGGAGGTTGCAGTGAGCTGAGATCACACCACTGTATTCTAGCCTGGGCAACAGAGCGAGACTCTGTCACACACACACACACACACACACACACACACACACACACACAAAAAATGAACAAAAAAATGAATAGGATCATTCATATTTTGCAAAGAAAAGCAAAAATAAAAGAAAGCACAGAGAAGACCTAAATGGTTCTGGTCATTTTCTTAAGCTTCATACAATGATAAACATGGGTGATAAAGCATTTTAAAATATGCTATCACTGAATTTGATAGGATTTTATGAGTTCTTTCATGTTTTCCATTAGAACTATAAAATTATTAATTAAAATTAATCCCACAAGCCCTGGAAATGATGTGCAATTTTTGTTTAACTGACGTGTATATGATGAATTCTTCCCTCGTTTATAAATGCATGCTGACAGTCTCCATAAAAGACCAGGAACAAACATGGGGCTTCCTTTCATGTGAAGAAAAATGGCATTTCATTGGCACTCTTTTTTTTATAACTCCTCTATTGAATAAGCAGGTCAAAAGAAGCCATTTGCAGTAGGAAAGGAATCAAGAGATTACTTCTTTCCTGTTAACATACTTTTAGCTCATGGCTTTCAGGTGTCTAAAAATTAAGTCAGTTACTTTTTTTTTTTTTTTGAGATGGAGTCTAGCTCTGTCACCCAGGCTGGAGTGCAGTGGCATGATCTTGGCTCACTGCAACCTCTGCCTCCCAGGTTCAAGTGATTCTCCTGCCTCAGCCTCCCTAGTAGCTGGGACTACAGATGTGCACCACCACACCTATCTAATTTTTGTATTTTTAGTAGACAAGGTTTCACCATGTTGACCAGGTTGGTCTCAAACTCCTGACCTTCAGTGATCCGCCTCCCTTGGCATCCCAAAGTGCTGAGATTACAGGTGTGACCCACCACACCGGGCCATTATGTCAGTGACTTTTGAAACAGTCTGTGAAACACTTGGACATCTACAAAAGTGACTTCTCAAATAACAAGGCATGGCTTTTGCCACAGGTTCCATGGCCATATGGCATCAAAACAATAAAACAGCACTAGTCATGACCCCCAATCAGAAAACTCAGTGTGGGTATGGGAGATAAGGTTACCCAGGATTCTTCCCCAAGGCTCAAAAGAGGGCACAGTAAAGGTATTAAATATAACTAACCCTAGAACAGATCTTGGCCCTTTGCCACCTGTTAATTCCCTTTATAGAGAGATAAAAGCCCCATGTGTCTCCAATCCCAAGAAAAGGGGTTCCTCTATGACCCTGCACTGCCTTGTCAATGAGAGCCATGTAGGCGTCAAGATAACCCCCAGATGGAAGGGAGGGAGAGCGCGCGCGCAAGCGAGCGGCAGGTGTAAAGAGGGAAAGAGAGGGAAAGAAAGAAAAGAGGGGAGGAGAGAGGAGGAGAGGGGAGGGGAGGAGAGGAGACAGGAGGAGAAGGGAGGGGAGGAGAGGAGAGACCAAAGAGAAAAGAGCAGTTTCCCATTCTCCTCAGCTGCAAGTTTATTCCTGGGACCCTTGAGAGTCTTCCCAGCATCTAAGAAGGGGCAGCAGGCTAGACTTACAGACTGCAGTAGGCAGAAAGCAGGTATTGTTAGCAAAATCCAAGTCCAGAAATTTAGGTTTTGCTCTCTGAACTCTCCCCTTCTTGTATTTTATGGGGACATTTGAAGAAGATCCCAGAATGGGTCACTCTTCTCCCAACATGTTTACCTGTCACTTAACAGCAGCCACAAACATAGCCTTTTCCCTTTGAGTTCCTATCCTCTTGCTAATTTAACACAGAAAATGACAGACTTTTTGCCTAAAAAAGTCAGAGGCTCTGAGACTGACTTAGATAAGACATTTGCCACTTTGAATCTGGTGTCATCAGGAAGGGACTAGACAAGATAAACTAAGGCCTTTTGTAGATCTAATCACAAAATTTATACTCTACTAATAAGTAATTATAGTTTCTTTAGACACTGCTCCCTCTTGCTAATAATCACCCATGACTAAGCTCTCATTTCTTTAACAGCCCTTCCCTAAAAAGTGAGAAAGGTTGTTGAAAGCACCAGCTGTCTCTAGGACCTCTCAATGAGCACTACACTCAGACCAGTACCCACTTGCCTTTGAAAAGGGCAAGACACACTATTAATTTTTCACTCTCCTAAAAGAATTAATACATATGTTACACTCACAATGACTCTTTCCTATCTAAAGGGTCCAAAACAATAGTTTGGGTGAGACTGTTTTATTAAGTTTTATTCTAACCCGCTGATATGCTAGAATCTAGAATATTCTGTATCTTCATCTGACTGTAGTCACATGGGTGTATACATATATAAAAATGCATCAAGCATACATTTAAGGTGATAGTGCTTTGCACATTTCACTGCATGTGATTTTTAGACTTTTAAATTAGGTATAAGAGTTCTATTCCACTCCATCGCCCAGGGCCACCTGGAGACACAGATGTGCCTAAAGATGCCAAGTTAACAGTTGGCTCTATAAGATCTTCCTCTTCATTTTACACCAGCTGGGAAGTTCAGTACTTGCCTATTTCACAACTGTCATGAAAGGGTAACTAACTTTGGTTCAAATCCATCTAGATGGTATAGAATGAGAAAAACAGATAATTCGCACACCAAGAGCAGCCCTATTCCTCACATTATGAGATGTGAAAGTCTAATATCGGTTAAAGAAAAATAACTATAAATACCAAGGTCTCCCTAAAGTATCTGGACATCATTTTAAGAAACAAAAGTTTTTTACACAGCCTGGAGGAAAAGTACTTAAGGTTTACAATTTATGGTGAGGCCTTACCTGCCTGCAGGTACTCTGGCTGCAGAGTCGGAGGCAGGCCCTCAGGTAACGGATAGCCGTTCTTCCGAGCCACAATGAGATGAAACGCAGCACAGAACTCAGGCAGGGTCAGGGCTCCGTCGCAGTCTGCATCACTAAGTTCCCTAAACGTAACAAATGTCATCAGTACCTAACATGGAGCTTACAGAAAAAGTTACTTGGCCCAAACATGCCAATAAAACTCCCAGACTCTCTGGTGATGGCCCTACCAGATACCCAAACCCTCCTAGCCAAATCCATTTGAAATCTCTGGGGGCCACTCTGAGGAAGAAAAATGCTGATTGATGGGATCAGCATCAGTAGCATTTTATAAATAAAAATTTAAATTATTCAGGTTTCCTAATTGGTCTGTTTAACAACACGGAGGACATGGTACAAGAAACTATGGCACAGAAAGAAAAATGACACCCAGATGTCCACAGTCATTGAGTAAATGCAGGCTGCATGAGGTGAAAAGCCCTGGACATGGTGTTCAAAACAGGCAGAGGAAGGGTGGCCACAGCCATTTTGTAGATGTCCCAGCCATTAAGCTGTTTACCCGGAGCACAGAAATAAGCTCTCTGTTTTTCAGCTTTATGGGAAAACCTTGGAATTTTCAAGTTACGTAAATTTTTGTACCAAACTGTTCTTTGCTTGTGAACTCTCTCCTGGGAAAATAAAAGTAAGCTCAATAAAAAATGGAATGAATTATGTTTTAGGATAAAACTAGTAAGTAAAGAAGACTGGAACCAGATAAGACAAAAAGGAAGAAAGGGGAGTCTTAAACAGGCTTATCTTCACTCTAGTCATTATTTCCCACTAAAAGGCACAGACCTATTTACTCAGCACAAAAGAAACTTATTTGCCAAAGTATTATAACTAAGACCCATAAGCTTAACCATTTCTTAGGTGGACAGGGACAAGCATACTTGTGTTAGGACAGAGATAAGACACATACAAAATTATTCTAGAAAGGTATCATTATCTGAAAGAAAATATATCTCTAAGGTGAGCTCCATAACCTCCTCCTCCTCCAATTTCGAATGTACTGGGGCCCTGAAATAGCTGTTCCACAGAGTGAGGGGTCAGGAAACTGCTTCAAATGTTGGATAGAGAGAATGCCATTCAGCTTTCATGGTATGTCTCAACAAAAAGATAGGAGACCTCAGGCCAATAATGTTTAGACTGGGAATTCTGCCAAAATAAAAGGTATTCTTTCCAAAATGATCATTTCTTTTTTTTTTTTTCCTAGCCGGAAAAGCTAATATAAGGGCCAAGCATGGTGGTTCATGCCTGTAATCCCAGCATTTTCACAAGCCAAGGTGGGAGGATCACTTGAGGCAAGGAGTTCAAGACCAGCCTGTTCAACACAGCAAGATCCTGTCTCTAGAAAAAACTGAAAAGTTAGCTGGGGACTTAAGAGACATATAGAGAACTCTCCACCCCAAATCCACAGAATATACATTCTTTTCAGCACCACATCACACCAACTCTAAAATTGACCACATAATTGGAAGTAAATCACTCCTCAGCAAATGCAAAAGAACGGAAATCATAAAAGTCTCTCAGACCACACTGCAATCAAATTAGAACTCAGAATTCAGAAACTAACTAAGAACTGCACAACTACATGGAAACTGAACAACTGGCTCTTGAATGT